TGTCCCTTCATCTGACCAGCTTTCCATGGGTCACACTGACGAAAGGAGAGGCTCTGCAGGGTCGGGGAGAGGGCGGATTACAGAGCTTTGGAGCGAAGCTGGCCTGACTCTTTTGTTGGATTTGCCCCTTCTCCATACTCACCCTTGTGCCTGTTTGTTCCTGGCTGGGTCTGGCTCTAAGCTGTGGAGAAGTAGCAGATGAAGAGGAGGAGAGGCTGCCGGAGTTGATGGTAACGATGTTCCTAACAGTAGCTCACACATTTGTTTAGTGCGCCAGCAGCTGTACCAAGGGCTGTCTCCTAGAGGGAGGATCTTTTGTTCCACATGGAAAAACTGATGTGAGAGATTGAATGACGTGTCAAGGCTACAGGGCTGGTAAACCGGGAGAAAGGATTCGAATCTAGGCCATCCAGCTCCGGAGCTGGCCACTATTGAAGAGCAATGCCTTTCTAGAACTTTCCAGACACCTCCTGGGCAGCTCTGGGCACATCCCCTTTCCACCTCCTTTCTTGGAGCTTAATGCTGTGGCCTGGAGGGAAGCAGACTCCCCCCCTGAGAAGTTTCCACTATTCACCCAGGGTGAGCTGCTTTGCTCCTTTGCTCCTGAGGGACGCGAGTGCGGCGGCCTCCCTTAGGAGCTGCGGGCAGGGGGCATGGCCTCCGCCCTCCTAGGCCCGGCTTTATAAATGCTCCTCAGGCCACTGTCTGGGGGGACACCACCTCTCACCTACCTCACACCGTCTGAACCTTAAGCAGCCAGAGGGCCTCTTTGGGGCCCCCTAGCCTGGGGAACTGTGCTCCAGCTTCGAGGTGGAAAGACCTGGGCTTATGTGCCATCCATAACCCTCTGAAACTCTTGTTTCCTCTGAAAACACGGATAATGATGACTGCCTCACACCTACTGCAGCTTTACCGTGAGGGTGCAATGCAGTCATCGATGTGACAGGTTTTTCATGAATTTTCATAACCAGCTCACCTTGACTGAACTTTCAAACTTGACAAGCAGCATCTTCATCTTGTTTAGATGCACAAAAGGAAGTTCAGAGGAGTTCACGAACGGCCCAGCACCCTGCTTAGGAGCAGCAGGCCCACGCTTGCTCTTGACTCACCTGAGTCACAGCTTTCCCCTCCCTCCCCAAGCCCCAGTGTCATACAGATGCAACGTGATGCTGATTCGGGACCCACTGTGAGGTGAGCCCGGTGTTGCAGAAACCAGGGCGGAGCGGAGATGCTCTGCAGAAGTGTGGGAGCCGTTCCACTCAGAAGCGAGCCTTAGAAACATCTCCTGCCGACAGAACCTGCCACTTCGGTCACTGGGCGCGGCTGTGTCACTGCTCCGCCTGCGGACAGGGACACCGGGTGGCAAGCATGTTCAAGCCAGCCCCAATTCCGTGCTCTGGGTAATGGCTTCACCTGCTGCCTCCATCGCATGCTTTCTCGGAGGCGTAGCCAAGGAGCAGGGAGACATTGAATCGGAAGGCATCACCACCTCCACTGCTGAGTCCAGTTCACCACCAGCGGGCTTCTGCACCCCAGTCTTTCAGCCACGCTGGCCCGAGGGGCAGGCTTCAGCGACCTCCCTGAGACCCCAGACACAGCTGTTCGCAGTCTCTTGGGACCCCCGTTCTGCAGCTGAGCTCTTGTGCCTAAATCTTTAAGCGTGAGTCCTTCCAGGTCCCCGTTTGTGTAACTAACATATTATTCTCTTACAATAATGTTAGCTACAAAGGAGTTGTTACCATTTTCCAGAGGACTAAGTGCTCCCATAGGGCATTGTGCTGTGGCCTCTGCCTGCATTATCTTAGGGAATCATCCCAGCTAGGGCGCTGTTATTCCCATGGAACAGATCAGGAAACTGAGGTGCAGAGATCGGAAGTGATTAGCCATGCTCAGCAGGCTAGTAAGAGACAGAGGGGGGGAGTGAGCCGGGCTGTTGAGCCCCCAGGCCACACTGGCACGGCCACTGTCCTTGCTCCCGGTCTGATCATCTGCCCCTATCCAGACGCTGCCACTCCTCTGCCCTCCTAGAGGTCAGGGTGTGGGACCCGTGCAGAGACCCTGGGACCCTGAGCCCCCATCTTCCCGGGCTTGACTCCTTCCCCACTCCACCAGGCCTCCGCACCGTCCATCCTCACGGGCCCTGCCCAGCCCTTAGCCAGGCCCGGCGTATTTCCAAAGCATCCCAACCTGTCTCCCAGCTTCCAGGTTTCTCATGCTTCAATCCATCCTCTGATGGCTGCCAAAGGCCTCCTCCTGAATCATTCATGCTCCTTCCTCAGCAAGACGCCCCAGCCCCAGCTGCAGGTGACAGAGTCAGGCCCAGACCTGAAGCCTGGCATCCAAGGCCTCAGAGCCTGACCTGAACCCCCTTCAGCCTCTCTCCTGCCCCGCCGCCTTCAGTCCAGCCATGCCTGCCTCCTCCCCTGCTCCTCACGGGTACCTACGATTTCTCCCTCCGGTCACATCGATTGTGTGACTGGATTGCTCACTTAGCCACTCAGAAATGTCCATTGAATGCCTACACGTGCTGAGCATCATTCAGGCACCGTGGGGGCCCACATGGCCAGCTCCTGTCGCACGGAGCTTGCATATTCGCAGAGGACACAGAGTTGGGTGTCTCTGAGGAGCTGAGAAGCCAGGGTTGTGGTGCAAGGCGGGCTGGGGGCCTCTCAGGAGGTTTGACAGCAGTCACACCGAGGTGGCTCCAGCCAGTAGGGGGCAGCAGAGCTGAGAGACCCCCACGAGGGACGGCAGTAAGCAGATGCCACAAAGCACTAGACGGCATGAGCAATCAGAAGCATATGAGATGGGGAGGAGAGGAAAGAAAGATGGCGGGTAGGAGCCACGGAGGCAGCAGCCGAGACAAGCCGAGCTGCAAGGATGATGAAGACACAGGAGCAGAGAAGAGATGATGCAGCATCGGAGGGACCACAGGCCACTGTGCGGAAGCCCTGCTGAGGCAGCCCGAGCTTCATCCCTGCTCACTGCTCTGCCAGCAGTGCAGGAGGTTGCCCAAGCACGCCCCTGGTCCTTGCATCCCCAAAGCACCAAACGCAGGACAAAGCTGCCATGAGCTGCCATGAGCTGCCATGAGCTGGGCGGCCACCAGCCTACAGAGGCGGCTTCTTTAAGGCCTCCTGTGATGATTACCCAGAGCGACCACACCAGACCAAGATTTGCTCGGAAAGTCCTAAGTGCAGGGAGAGCCTGCAAGCACTGGGTGGCAAATTGCAGGATTGGAGACCACAGAAAGCCACAGGAAAATTCCCGTCAGGGCCAGGAGCAGACACAAGGGGAGAGGGGCTATGAATGGCTCCCTGGATGGGAGGGGAGATAGAACGCTCAGCTAGCTGGTATGGAGGAAAATAAAGAAACGATGGAACAAATGCCTGGCATCCCTGAGTGGAAAGGCTGGCACGGAGAAAGGGAACTATGTGACCAGATGTTTGCTTTGCCTCCTGGATGGAAAGCACTCCAAATGGAAAATTTTCCCGTACCAGTGAGGTCAGAATGTATGAGCAGCCCCTCTTCCAAAAAGCAAGATGGTGGTGTCTGCCAGCCCCTCTGTGCCTCTCGGGAGGACTGCTGTGGCCGGAGGGCAGGCAGCATGGCGGAGACCTCAGCCCCTTCCCTCTCTGGTCCTCTCTGAGAAAGACCACGTGTGGACCGGACAGAGTGTGGCAACACACCATTTGCTCCCCAAGTTTACAGACCTGGCTCTGGAAGGAAGACCCACGGGAAGGGAACCACATCCAACCGGAGGCCGGGAAATGTTTCCCTTGGTCTGTGGCAGCAGCTGGTGTTGGCCTGCTCCCTTCTCATCCACAACAGCATGGCATGAGCGAAGGCAAACAAAACAGCAGCCAATGCAAAGGGTTCTTGGGCTTTCTGATGTGAACGATCCAGGAACCAAGGGCAGGAGCAACGGAGGAGGCCCCGGGGGAGGGTGGGGGACGAGAAGACCCTGTGGGAAAGCTAGCCGGCTCCAGGGACCTGCTGACTAGTACAGGGTCTTATGGAAATAAAGGGCAGCCGATGTGGAGGGTTGCCTTGTGTTTCACGTGTGTGTATGCCCGTGCACACCTGCGTGTGCATGTGTTTTGTCTACTTCAACCCCCTCCTTGACTTCAGCCTCCAAGGCCTGGCACCTCTCCTCTCTCGAGGCAGTGGGACACCTCCTTAGAGCCCCTCCCCCTTCCCCCTCCCCTCCCCCCTCCTCCTTTTTCCCCCAGTTTTATTGAGATATAATTGACGTACAGCACTGTATGAGTTTAAGGTGCACAACATAATGATTTGACTTACATAGATCATGAAACGATTACCACAGTAGGTTTGGTGATCATCCCTCTCATACAGATACAACATTAAAGAAATAGAAAAAAAAAAGTGTTTTCTCTGTGATGAGAACTCTTAGGATTTACTCGACAGCAGCTTTTATTTAAAACCTACAGCAGTGTTAATGATCCTTATCATGTTATGCATTACATCCCTAGTACTTATTTATCTTATAACTGGAAGTATGTACCTTTGACCACCTTCATCTTATTCCCTTCCCCCGAGCCCCCTACCTGTCTCTGGTAGCCACAAACCTGATCTCATTTTCTATGGGTTTGTTTGTTTGTTTTTGAAGTGTCATTGACCTACAGCACTATGTTAGTTCCTGGGGTACAACAGAGTGATTTGATATTTATATACATTTCAAAATGATCACCATGATAAGTCTAGTTACAAGATGTCACCCTACAAAGATATTACATAATAATTGAGTATATTCCCCGCACTGTACATTTCAGCCCTGTGACTCATTTATTTTGTAACTGCAGGTCTGTACCTCTTAATCTCCATCGCCTATTTCTCTCCTCCTCCCCATGCCCCGCCCCTCTGACAAGCACCTGTTTGTTTTCTGTGTCGTTGACTCTTGTTTCTGTTTGGTTATGTTTGTTCATTTGTTTTGTTTAGATTCCACATGTGAGTGAAATCATACAGTATTTGTCTTTCTGTGTCTCATTTCACTTGGAATAATACCCTCTAGGTCCATCCGTGTTGTTGCCGATGGCAAGATTTCATTCCTTTTTATGGCTGAGTAGTATTCCAACCCCTCTTCTTCTCGATACTGTGTCAGTTCGGCTGTGGTAACAAGCAACCCCAGTGTCTCGGGGGCTCACAACCACGCACATCTCCCTCGCACTCACATCACCTGTGGGAGGCTGTCGGCTGTGGCTCCACGGGCTCCGCCCCACAACTCCTCACCCCAGGGCCCAGGCTGTAGGAGCTTCCCCAGCTGGTCAGTGCGTTCTTCTGACACACTTCTCAAGCAAGTGCGATGATGGAAACTCTCGCTACACTTCTGCTGAGACCTGGAATACATCACCATATTTATTCACATTCCATGGGCTGAATTGTATTCCATGGTCAAGTCCAATGTCAGTGGGGTGAGAATGAACATTTCTCCCAAAGGGAAGGAGGGTGAGAATGAGTGCAAACTACCATGTTATTTCATATTGTATGTCAATATTGTCTACCTCCCTTCCAGCAGGTCTCTCCACAGCTCAGCAGTCTCCTCTGAGCAAGCCTCTTTTGTTCTCCTAACAACCTTAGGAAATAATCGCAATGGCAAAAGTAATTAACTTTAAAAACAAAAAAGTAATTAACTTTTACTGCCTCTTTCTTTGTGCCAGGTGTTGTTTAAGTGCTTTACAGGCGTTCTTTGAGTTAACACTCACAGCAGCCCCATGATGTAGCGACCACTGTTATCCCCATTGTACGTGTAAGAAAACTGAGGCTGAGAGGTTGACTGGCCCAAAGTCACACAGCTGCTAAGGGTCAGGTCTGGGATTCACTCCGAGGGCACCAAAGGCTGTACTTTCAACCCCAGCAACTACACGGCTTCTTCCTATGAGGCCAGGGTGGGGTAGTGGCCCCATATGACAGATGTGCAAACTGAGGCCCAGAAAGTTGACTTGACCTGACCAAAGATACACCCTGTAAACAGAACTAAAGTAGAAATGCCGTCTTCTCCTCCTCAGCAATCCGTCCCCTACACCAAGCCGGGGACATTGTCGTCTAGCACTTTGGGGACACTGACTGCCACCCTGGCCTGGAGCCGTGCAGAGGGAGGCTCCAGTGATGGTGCCTGTCTGTCGGCCTTTTCCTACCGGTCAGCCCAGGGTGGTGAAGTAGCCCAGTCCTGGCTCGACCACTGACGACCTCAGGCAGGTTCCTCGACCTCTCTGAGCTTTACCTTCCTGGTCTACAACATGAGAGCCACAGAGCTTAGAGCATAATGCCAACCAGAGTAACTGGCCTCATTTTCACTCTCCAGCTCCTCCACTCTAAATCCTGCTGGATTTCTTTGGTTAAGACACTCTTGCCCTCCACCTCACCTTCACTTCCTACCCCAGCCCTCCATCCATCCTTCTTGGGTTCGTGTCACCTCCACTGCGCACTCAGACAGGTTTGAGAGGAGGCGTGAGATGAGGTGGGGGCCACAGTCCCACCTGAGCTTCAACAAAGAACCAAATGGGCTGGCTCTCTGTGCTCCCCACCTGGATACACGTATACACGTGTGCACAGACATGCCCACATGTATATATCACACGCCCACATCACATGCGCACGTATACAATACGCAAAACACTTACATACCTGTACACAAATACACACATACCCATGTACCTGCATGCACACGTGTACACACATATACACACAGACACCTGTACACATATACAGAGACACACATACGTATCCACACAAACACACACATACATATACGCACCTACACAATATACCTGTGTACATGTGTACACACATACCCACAAACACACACATGCACATGTCCACAAATAAACACACAAATATGCACACATACATACACTCCACGCAGGCACAGCCACTGGACAGGGTGTGGCTTGTGGGGCATATAATGCTGTCTGTCCAGCCAATTCCTCCCCTGGAGGGTAAGTGCTCTTCTGGGGGCGGGGCCTTGGTCACAGCCAGAGAACGGCAGGACATGAGGGCCCGTGGGGGTCAAGCCCCTCCCTCAGCTGCGTCTTGCAGGTGAGGAAACCGAGGCCCAGAGCATAACGGAAGCACACAGTGCTCCAATATGCCAGGCACAGTTCCAAACTCTTCATCTGTACTAACCCACTCACTGAACACTCACAGTCACCCGCTGAGGGACCCACTGTCTCGTTTTTCCAAACAGGAGAACTCAGGCCCAGAGGGTCACGCGTTAGTGGTCCCCCAGTGGGCAGTGGAGTCAGGCTCAGGCAGCAGCTCCGGTGCCCCTGCTCCTCACGGGCAACCTGGGCTGCCCCTCTGCTGCCATCGCTGATCGCGTGACACTGGGCAGAGGGACCGTGATCGCTGCCGAGTCAGGTCGGACTCAGCTTCCGACCCCTGCTGCCTCAGGCAACCTGGCTGAGAGGCTGTCGTCTGACCACGTGGTAATTTTCAGGGACACGAGGACACGCCAGACAGGCGGGCCGAGGGAGGGAGGTGCCTGGGCGGGCAGTGCCATGCGTGCTGCTGTGGTCTCTGCCCCTCCTGCTCTCGGGGCATGAATGGCCCGCCTGCCCTGAGACGGGAGCCCAGCGTCTGAGCAGGCCGGATGCCTGGTTTCTTTGGCAACTCAACTCACATTCTCCTGGCTGTGCTTTCTGGGGCTTGGTTTAAGTTTAATTCCAGCCGGAATGACTGGAAATACCAAGTATTTCGCTAGGATTAGTGCTTGGCTGGAAGGGCCAACTGCCTCTGCCACAACCAGGTACCGTGGACCTCAGAGGAGCGTTAATCCCAAGGAAGGCTCCGTGACTCAGCCTCGGGTGGCTTCTCAGCCCCAGGAGGGCCAACCCGAGGCGCAGACGCCCGGGCTGGGCTTCCGCTGAGCTGGGGGCGGGGAGAGGCGGCACAGGAGGGCTTGCGGAGCTCAGAGCAGCCCTGCTCTCCCACCCACGGCAGGGACCCATCCAGCCCATGCCCCAAAGCACACGCTTCGGGGAGAGCGGGGAGCAGAGTGGGGCGGGGCAGGCACACAGTGCGGGCACGGCTCTGTGCCCGGGGGGGGGGGGGGGGGGGGGGGTAAGGAGGCACCGTCTGGTGGTCCGGGGCACAGCTGCCAGTCTCACCAGCACTTAGTTTCTCGGCCCTGGCCCCGTCTAACCGCCCTGAGCTGTGGTTTCTCGTCTCTAGGTAGGGATGGTAACAGCACCTCCCACGCGGAGCCGAGCGGAGCGAATATGAAGATTAAATGAGGCAGGGTTTTCAAAACACATAGCACAGTTCCTGGCACATGGAAAGCCCCAGATAAATACTAGGGATCAATGTGAAACATTAGCTTCTCACACCTGCCAAGCCTTCAAGATTCTGTGAAGGAAAACAGTCAAAAATGTGAAGCACCTCCCTTCCCAAGGTAATGGAGCTGGTTTTCCTTCCTACCTATTGGCTCCAGCCTGACAAAGGCGTCTACATCAGAGGAAGGTCTTCTAGCAACGGGCTCAGCCCCACCTGGCAGCTCCGGGCTCCCATGTAGCTCTCTGAGCCCCCATGCTGCTGCCCAGAGCAGGCATCCCTAACTGCCTCTGTCCTACCCCATGGGCTTGGCTTCATCTTCTCTGCCCTGGTTCCTATGCCTGGTTCTGAGCAGCCCTCCTACTGGGATCCCAGGTGCCCTCCGAGGTAGAGCCCTGCTGTGAGCCCCACATGGTGATCAGTGAGCAGGTGGGGAGATTGCCCTTCAAAGCTGGGGTCCTGTCACCCACAGACAGATCCCCACTAGTTTCCTGGGCATCAGCTGCCTGCCCGAGTCCCTGGCCTGCTTCTCGCCTCTCCACGAGCTGCTGGAGCAGCTCTAGACCCTGCTGTGTGGCTAGGAGGGTCCCGCAGTGCCTCACACCCAGTCCCAGACTATCATAGAAGGGGCAAACCCAGAGGGAGACAGGGGAGTTAGTTAGAGGAAAGACAAGAGAAGGCCACGGGGAAAGGATGGCAGGGGCAGAATGCAAGCAAATGCCAATCAGACATAATTTGAGGCTGAAAGCAGTCAGTGAAGGACTGCCCACACTGCTCTCCAAGATGAACGTCTTCCTCCCCGCAGTCACGCTTGGTCACCCCAGCAACCCAGCAAGGACTTTATCAATGATCCTAGCTCTGTACCCATCATGGACCTTCAGTCCTCCAGGCCCTGCAGAAACTTTTCTTTCTGCTGGAATACCTGCCAGCCTTCCCTAGTATGCACCATGAGTGAACTCCTATTTATCCTTCAAAACCCAGCTCAAACGTCACCTCCTCTAGGAGGCTTTCCCTGAACACTCCCTCCCATATTCAACCACAGCCTCTTGAGATGCCCCACAGTGTGCTCTACATCTATGTACCTCTCTTTGTTGTGGTTTATTGGCTCATATGTCATCTTCCCTTGCTGTGCTCGGGGCAATGAGTGTGTCTTATCCATCTCCACATCCCCAGCTCCTATCACAGAGCTAAGCACGGAGTGAAGCCTCAGCTAAAATTTGCTGACATGGAAAGCAACAACAAAACAACATCTTTTGACTAATCCTTCACACCTCCCTGGCGAAGCAAATCTAAAGTCCTAGTTCAAGCCCTCTGAGGGGCTGAATGTCTAAGATGGACTTCAAGACAAAGTCCCAAACATCACACAGCCTCATGGAAGTATCAGGACATGCCCGGCCTCTGGAAGGGTGAGCCAGAAGGAAGCTTCCAGAGGGGCTCAGAAATCACCCACTGGTGTCCTGCAGTGAGAAAGCCACCCTGGCCGGTGGCGATCTGAAGCACCAGCAGCATGAAGAATGAAAAGGCAGAGTGTGGCCAGAGCTGAGAGGTTGGCATTTGCAGGCTAGGAGCCGAGGAGGAGCGGCCCTGGGGGAGAAACTGAGCCAGGCGTGACCCCTAGCCCAGGGGGTTCCAGGCAGAAGAACAGCCCACTGATGTCCCTCTCAAGCTATGGGAATATTGTGGGCACTGAAACCCCATCTCCTAAGAACACTCTGCACTGCTCCAGTCCCAGGCCTGACTCCATCGGGACCGTACTGCCAGGGGCGTCAAGTCCAAGCTCCAAGTCTGCCTCCCGGTCCCCCCAACACCGCTGCCACCAACTGCTGCCCTCACTGAATTCTCTCCTCTCCCACCCACTGCCCAGGCCCAATCTCAGCCACCATCACCTCCCTCCCAGCTCCTAGGGGCCAGCCTGTGGGGCTGTCGCTCTTCCAGCCTTGCCCTTGAGATGCACCTGGAACAGTCCCCATTAACATGTGGATCAGACCCTGTTTAAAAGTCTCCCTTATCGATCCTGCTCTGGAGGAGGCTGCTTTGGGGAATAAGGTAGGGGGTCAAATGCGTGAGAAACTCCCTGTCCAGCAGAACTGATGCCCTCTGCTCACCTCTCCAGCCACTTCTCATCATTCCCACCATACGACCTCTGATGCTCAGATGACAACGTACTTTCCTCCTTTGTCCACCTGCCGCCCTCCAGGTCTGTCCCCCCAGCTGAGGGAGGCACCCCCACTGTTCCCACAACCCCCCCATCTCTGTTATCTCTCTCTCTCTGGACTGGGGATTCTGAGCTCTCATTCCTGAGCGCCGGGAATACAACAGCAAACCAAACAGAAAAATCACATACGGGATGGAGAGTATGTAAGATGCGTACGTAAGTATATACGTACACGAGATGTCTGGTGCTGGGGAGAAGTTTTAAGCAGGACAGAGGGAATAAATGCTGGTGGCGATTTAAACAGCATCCAAGGAGGCAGGGAGCCAGCTGTTGGATCACTGAGGGAACTTCGTGCGGTGGGGAAATGTTCTATGTCTTGCCTGTGGCAGGAGGCTATGCAGTTGTACACATTTGTCCAAACTCCGAACTGTACTCTTAAAACCTGTGGATCGTACCTGTATAAATTATATACCTCAATAAATCTGACATCATAAAAGGGTGTCCCAGACAACAGAAACCTAGAGGCAGGAGCATGCCCAGAAGGACTGGTACAGGGGTGGAGGAGCCACAGGCCAGGCACTGTGGACAGGGCAGAGGTGATGTCCAGCGCGTGCGTGCGTGTGCCTGCGTTCCGTGTTCTGGGTGGGCCCAGGCGTCAGTCTCCTTCTAGATGTCTGCAGGTGGCGCACCGCTGGTGTAGGTGCTGCTTCTCAGCATCTTCCTCATCCCCTGTGCTGGCAGCCCCCGGAGGGCAGGAACTGTGCTCTACTCATCCCTGCATCCCTGGGAGGTACTGAGGAGGGGCTCGGTGCACGGTGCATGGAGGTTAAATGGAGCTGATTCCCACTGAACCACGTCCAAGGAATCTGAAGCTGTCTGCAGCAGTGGACATCCCCCGTGCTGGAGGGGCAGGGCCCAGTCAATTTCACTGTGGATTTGGGCTGGGACAACCCTGTCTCCGGGGTTCACCTGTCCCAAGATGATGTGTAAGAAGGGGCCAGTCAAGGCCCGCTGTTCGTCGTGTGGATTCCAGACTCTCTCCCCCTCTACCTGACTCCGAGGGCTCCGGTTGGGGTGTGGGCCAGCAGCCCTAAGCCTGGACACTGTCAGCTGCCTCTGTCTTCAGGGGCAAGAAAAAACGGCAGAAAAAGGCTGATGAGCAGCTCAGACTCCTCTCCTCCTCAGCTCAGACTCAGCTTCCTTGAATGAGCTTGAGTGGCAGAGGCCCTGCAGGCTTTATCTGTGTGCGCCTCTGGTGGGGGCTCCCGGAGCCTCACTTCAGAGACTCTGAGAGCAGAGCCTGCGGTGCACTTGGAGAGTAGAGGAAACCTCACATTTCTTGAGCAAATGCCATGTTTTGGGCACTAAGCCAGCACATCACACATGTCATTGCTTTATCTTCACTGCAACCTGCAGGGCGCCAGGGTCCTTGTTTACAGGCAGGGAAAATGGGTCACAGAGTGGTTGAGTCATTGTCCAATGCAAGCGTGGCAGAACCGAGGTCTTTCTGTTCCCAGGGTCAGTGCCACCTCAGAGGCGAAGGAAGGAGGGGGCTGCTGTGAGGAAGGTCACTGGTTGAGAGGAGCTGGGAAGGGGATGGGGTGAGTGGAGTGGCAGCGGCTGAAAATGGGCTGCTTTGTCCAGAAGCCAAGGGATGGCCCGGGATTCCAGGCAGAAAAGGTGCTGTTTCCCCCAGGCCAAGGTGAGTAAGTCTGGTAGGGCCCTGGGGTGAAAGTAGGGTCAGCCCAAGGAAAGGACAGTGGCCGCAGCAGGGCTCTGAGCCAAGGGCGACCGGAGCACAAGGGAGTCCAGGAGGCCTCACTTCCAGCCTGAAGATGACAGATCCCTGTGGCTGTGATTCACCAGCTGCCATGACCACAGTCACAGCCCCTGACATCTGCACGGCGTGTGGCACTCTCCACGGACCTTGCAAGTGTCCACACATGACCACGTTCCATCTCACTAGCAGCCCCCTGAGGGTGGCAGGGAGGTGAGGCAACGAGGGCTGGAGGGCTTAAGTGGCCGTCGAGGTCACACAGGGGTAAATGGCAAATCAAGGCTTGAGCGACCCCCATAAATGGCAATGCTGATCCCCTGTCTGTCCATCTTTATAATCATCTGTGTGCTTCTGGAAGGCCTGTATGACCAGACTGAACGGTGGCCCTGGATGGAGCTGGTAGAGTGCTAGAGACTAAATGTTTGTGTGCCCCCAAATTCTTATGTTAAAACCTAACCCCCAAGGAGATGGTGTTGGGAGGTGATTGGGTCCTGAGGGTATAGCGCTCAGGAACGGAATTAGGGCTCCTGTGAAAGAAACTCTGGAGAGCTCCCTCACCAGAGCTCTCACGTGAGGCCACAGCGAGAAAAGAACTGACTAGGAACCAGGAAGTGGGCTCCACCAGGCAGAGTCAGCCAGCACCTTCCTCTTGGACTTCCCTGCCTCCAGAACCGTGAGAAATAAATGTTTGCTGTTTAAGCCACACAGTCTGTGATATTCTTGTTATAGCAGCCTGAACAGAGTTAAACCAGGCCAAGGATACCAAGATCTCAGCCTCTGGAGGAACAGTATCGCCCTCCCTGTCCATGCTCCCCATGGGGCTCAGGGCTGAGCTGGCCAAAGCAAGTTGAGTCAATGGGCTTTTGGTGTGGGGACTGCCAAGGAAATATCTGTTTCAGCACGGGGGCTGTCAAACATGCAGAGACTGAAAACCATCCATCCACTCATTTTGCCAGCCAGCCAGCCAACAACCAGAGCTCAGGTGTGTGCACGTGTATATGAGGAGACCTCTGACCCCAGGTCATCAGGTTATTCATGGTCCTCAGCACTTACCTCTTTGGGAGTCAGGCGTGAGGGTCGTGCCTCCCTCTGGCCTTGCTGGTGGGAGCCTGGAAGGAAAGGAAACCCTGTCCTTCATTGGGCACAAATGCTGGCGCCTATGGAGCTCTGTTGGGAAATAAAAGCTGCCTTCATGCCGGTCCTCATATTTATGTTCCCCCAGGTTCCCAGACAGGTATCCAGCAGACGGACCTCGGAGCCAATACGCTTGGGATATTGTCCTCAAGGCCTGAGCAAGCCCCTCCCTGATCCAGGCTCGGAGAAGTCTCCCTAATACAGGGACCAGCTGACACTGTCGCTCAGTGCTTCCCAAGCGTATCATCCCCAGGTCCCTTTTTGGGGTGTGTAGAAGTTTTTAGCCTGGCACACCCGTTGCCACGGGACGCACTGGAAATCACGGTGCCAGAGAAACTTCCTGCCTGGGGCTCCCGTTTCCCGTTCTGGGTCGGCACTCAAGGGCTTCGCACGCACACCTGCGGGGCTCCCAGAATCAAAGTGCTTTCTCATCAGAGGCGTTTTTGAGTGTGCAGCATGGAGAGGAGATTTGTGTTCCCTTATTCAAAAAATATTTATTGAGCTCCTTAACTGCCTTTCCCTTTGTTAAGTAATGGCTTCATACGTACTTTGCAGGTGGATCCGCAGGGGGCAAGCATTTCCCAACACAATCCTGAGCCTTCGGCCCTTCCCTTACTGCCCCCTTCGTGGGGCCGAAGGAGAGCTCCGGACCGGGGGCCCTGGCCAACCACAGAGCCAAGCGAGATCAAGCCTAGGGCCAGTGAGGTACGTGCATGGTGAAGGGGATGTGGGGGAAGGGCTGGGGCTTCAGAGACGCGAGAGGGTGGCCCTGAGAGGACCGAGGCCATCCTGGGGTGAACGTGGGGAGGGGCCCAGGGAGAGGCCTGAAAGGCTGACGGAGCTGTGTCCTAGGGAAAAGGCAAAGGGAAGAGGAACGAAAGAGTTCCTTCTCTCCAAGGGGCAAGGAGCCCCCGAACTCAGTCCAGGTTTGGGTACCCTTCTGGAGCCAAGGGCTAAGGACGTAGAGCTGGTTTGGGGAGGAATGGCAGAAGGGCAGAGGCCTGTGGGCCAGATCAGGGACAGAAATAAGCCTCTGCCGTGACAGTAGGTATTGGGGGCCTGCCCACCAAGCCACACAGCAGTCACCAGCCAGCACAGTTTCCTGTGAGCCCCTCGCCGGTGACATCGGGTGCGAACGGTGCCAGGCCCCAGCACCGTGTTGGGTGGAATTGGGAGAAGGCCTGGCAGAGATAAGCCTAACACAGTGGTCCTCAAGGTGTGAATCACCCCGGAACTGGTTAGAAATGCAGACTCTCACGCCCCACTCCAGACCCACTGAGTCAGAACCTCTGGGAGGGGGCCCCATAGTCCACTAACAAGCCCCCAGGTGATTCAGAGGCGCACTCAAGTTTGAGAAACTCCGGCCTAAAGGAATCCCTGACTCTCCTTCCCCCCAGCATCCCAGGCCGCGGCTGGATCAGGGCAGGCGGGGCCTGTAGGGTTGGGCTCTCGAGAAACCCACGCAGGAGCACCGGAAGCCTGAGTGGTTAGAGTCTGTGAGCCGTGCCCTCTCCTGAAGGGAAGCCTGACAGATGAAAGGCAGCAGCTACCGCCCTGCTGCTCTGCTGCCGGGTTTGCAGCCTGGCTTCCCCGGGCCTCGGGCCCTCCCGAGACCTGCCGCCCAGGAGGAGGCCTGGGCCAGGCACAGCCTCCCATGCGGGGACTTGGCTGGCCCCAAACGAGACCCATCAGGGCACCAGGAGTTCGCCACATACATTTCATCCCCTGTTATCTCCACCCCAGCCTACTGAATTGAATGCTTTCGGTACGCTGGCTGTACAGATGCGGGTTTCAGAGTTTCAGAGTTCAGTAACTTGGTGATGCCACTCCCTCCTAAGCCGCGGAGGTGGGTCTTGAACCCGTTCTACACGTGCACTGCCTCTTCTAGCCTCACCTCTGATTCCCTAAGCCTTCACTCTGAGGACCTGCTCCCCGTCCCCTCAGCTCGGGGGGTGCAGACTGGCATCTCAGGGGCCAGTGGGTTCCCTTTCAGGAACAGGCATTTGACTTGGTTTTCTCATCCCGGAGCATGTGAATGTGTACGCTTTGTCCAGCATCTCTCAGGAGTCTCCTTCCGGAAGGAGTCTCTAGTTCTGAAGCCTCCCCTCCTGGCCTTCCTCCCACCCCAGCCCGCCACGGGCATCCGCAGCCGTCTGCAGGCGACGTGGAGACAGGCAAGAAAAGCCCAGCTTGTTTTGGGTGAGGCAGCGTGGTGGGACGACGGCTCGCTGGGGCCCTACTTCGTGCTGCTCTTGACGTCTCGTTTCCACCGTGTGCTCACGCAAGGACCTCGCTTCTGGAGGAAAACAGATGTGACTGCGTGTGGGCAGGAAACCACAGGGCGGCCTCCTGCCTCATCCGTCCCCATCACTCGAGGCAGCCTCATGTGCTGATGGGGGAAGCTCCCTGGTGGTGATGCTCCAGGCTCAGCCTGCGATGCAGGGCCAGGGTGACCCCAGGCAGCAGGAAGGTGGGGCTCAGCGCTGTGCAGCTGTCAGTAGGAACGGCTAGACATGCAGACTGTCAGCCCAAACCCAGATCTACTGAATCAGAGACCCTGGGGGTGCAGCCGGGCAGCCTGTGTTTTAACAAGCCCTCCCGGCAATTGAGATGCACCCCGCAACGGGCGATTCCCAGACGGCCCCCATTCCTGTTTCCAGCCTCTTCTCTCACCACAGCCCACACCCTCGCACAGCCCTCCTGCGGCGCTCACACCCCTCCTTCAGCCGGCACGTCCGCTTACCTCTTCCTGGCAAGCAGGCTCCAGGTTACACTTCGTCATCCCAGGTCCAACACACAGCATCTCACGTCACTTCCCTTCACGGCTCTTTTCTTCCACGTCCGACTTTCCCTTCCTGGGCTTTATGTCTATTTTCCTGACACCAAAAAATTGAAGCCTCTGTTCATAGCGCACCTGCCTCCACCCAACATTTGTCAACTATTTACCAGGGGGGACGTGGCAGCCGACAAGCAGCAGGGCCCCAGCTCTCACAGAGCTGACAGTGCAGTGGGAACTCATGGAAGAGGTGGGCTGAGGCCTTTGCTGAGCCATCTCTTCACTCTCCAGGCACCCATCAGGCCCCTCCCGGCTTTGTCACCTCTCTGAGCACATGCCATGCCCAGTGCCACGCCAGGCCAGCACAGCGCTTCCTCCCCAGGCCAGGCCCAGGGCTCAACGCTGCTTCAGCAAACCGGAGGTGAGCACGAGTGACACACACTGGCACACACGTGCCCACACACACCGCACTCCTCAGCCCTGCTGGGACGGGGGCAGAATGCAGTGGGCACGGCTAGGCAGGACCCTAGAGAATCTTGGTGGCTACATCGATCCTTAGTACTGGTCACTCTTGGTAGCCAAGAAAGAGGTACAAGGAAACATCCCCTTCCACTGAACGCAAAGGAAAATGGATAAAAACCATTTTCCATCTGTTTTCTGTACCTTGCCTCCTCTGATGGACACCAACACCTCACTAGGTCGTCTCAGGTGTTGCTGAATCTCCCTGTCAGTGCTGTTCTCACAGGGGCTGACCAGAAGCTGGCCCCAGCCATGGGGTCTCAGGTCTCTGTACCCTCCTGCCAATTCAAGACTGGTTGACCAAGAGTACCTGTTGCCCATCACCAGACAGTACAGCAGCGGTACACGGTGCTGGGTGAGGCTACGGTCTGTAGAGTCAGACTGTCTGGAATCAAATCCCTAATCTACCACCTACTCACTCACTGTGTGACCTCAGACACGTTACTCGACCTTTCTGAGCCTTCATTTCCTCATCCCCCTGTTAACACGGGCATAATAATAAGGTCTATCTCATAGGATTGCTATCAGGATTAATTACTTAATACACACAGCTTACTGAGTAAATACTCAGTACACGTTAGGAATTGTTATGATTGACTGGATGGAAGACGACAGACTCAAAGGCCCGTACTTCTCACAAGGACTGGCAATTTCAAGCAGCAGATGGCACCTGAGATCTCAGCACAACGTTTCTGATAGGAGGCTGTCAGCAGGAGGGGGAGATAATAAATCAACTCCCTCTTGATGTATTATCTACTTTACCAATTAGGCTTCCGTGGGAAGGTGCCCTGGGGATTTCCATAAACCCATAGAATAGATTCATGGAATTGAGTATTTCCAGTTACTAGTTAAGATAAGTTTTAACAAGTGTGAGATCAGGTCAGTTTTCAGGGGATCATCCCAATGGACGAGAGAGAACAGACGCCCAAGCTGGTTACTAATCTACCCCCACTGGCGTGGCCAATGCTGCTCGTGGGAATGTGGATGTCTCAGCCTTTCTTTTCTGGAAAGCCGCCTGGCAACACACGAAGAACAGTAAATGAGTTCATACCCTTTCACCTGGTAATTCCTCTTCCAGGCATCGACCTCAAGGAAATAAGCAGAGGTGCACAAAAATGTATATGTAAGTTTGTCCATCACAGCGTTGTTTGCATTTTAAAATAAAATAGGAACAAATGTCAAATACTAGAGAAACAGTGAAAGGAGGTACATGCCTAAGACAGAATACTATATGGCCTTTAATCATCTCTTCAAGGAATATGTAACAGTGGCACGATGGCTGGTTTGCTCCTCTGTGAAAGAGGGTGACCACACTGAACTCACAGGCTCTCCCGAGCCTTAGCCCAGTGAGGCCCTGAGTCCAGCAGAGCGCAGGCCACCTGGTAAACACTCAAAGCGGGGGCTGCCATTACTAGGAGCTCCCACCAGCTGCCATGAGGTAAGACTTGGCCTCCCATTTCAACAAGAAGAAACACAAAGCTCAGGGCCTGCAGGTTGGGACAAGGCTGTCCCAGCCTCAGAGGAAGTGGGTACAGGTGTGGCTCTCCCCGACACACCTCTCCCATCCTCACTGGCTAGCACGCACCCCATCTGTAGAGCCCCTTTCGGCTCTCAGAGCACACTCTGCATTATTGCTGCAGATCTCTCTGCAACCCATGAGCCCAGCTGGGCCAGCGTCATTCCAAGTGACCGGCCTGAGAGAAACAAATTCAAATCCCGACACCACACCACTTAGCGGCTATGTGAACCTAGGCAAGCCAGCCTCGCGGGGCCTCCGATTTCGTTTCTCTGGCTTCCGCCTCTTCCTGGAGACGCTGCAAGGAGCAGATGTGGAAGTGTCTTTTTCATCTGCACAACGCAGAGTCGTGCTCTGAGCTGTGCTCTTCAGAGGAGGAAACCAAGGGTTGAAAAGGCTTAAAAAAAATCTTGCTCCAGGTCCTGGGAATAGGTGGACACAAAGTTGGGAAGCACCCAGCTCTTCCAGAGTCCTAACCTTTCTTTTCTTTTCTCTTCCCTTCCTTTCTTTTTCTTTCCTTTCTTTTCTTTTCTTTTTTAACAGCTTTATGCAACATAATCCCCATGCCATAAAACTTATTCCTTTAAACTGTACAGTTCACTGGCTTTTAGTGTATTCACAGAGTTGTACCCCATCAATACAATCTAACTTTAGAACATCTTCTCATCCGCCAGAAAAACCCTGTGCCCATCAGCAGTCATTCCCCATTTCCCCCCAAGTCCCTCTGCCCAGGGCAGCCACTAACCTACTTTCTGTCTCTACAGATCTGCCTAACCTGGGCATTTTGTATAGCTGGAATTATACTACATGGTCTTTCAGGACTGGCTTCTTTCATTTGGCATAATGTTTGCAAGGTTTGTTTATGCTGAGCATGAATCAGCACTTCATTCCTTTTTATGACTGAATAATATTCCATTGTGTGGGTAGTTTGGTTATTCATTCATCAGTTCCTGGACATCGGATTGTATTCACTGCTTAACTATTATGAACAATGCCACTACGAACATTTGTGTACAAGTTCTGTGTGGACATGTTTTCAATTTTCTTGGGCATATACCCAGGAGAGAAACTGCTGGGTCACCCTGCTTTTCTGTGCTGTTTCTCAGAACTTTTGACATAATGTGCATTTTCCAAACTTACTTGGCCAGGAAACCTTTTTTCCACAAAGCATCTCGGATGCCTTTGGCAAAGTCTGATTTAGCCCAACCCCCCTCATTTTGGGGAAACAGAAGCCCAGGAGGGTCCAGCACACTGCCAAGATCACACAGGAAGTGAGACGCGCAGCCACCGCAGAAACAGAAGAAACACGTGACCATCTGAATGGGAAAGGCAAACCAGGAGAAACAGGAGGAACCCCTTAAACATGAAAGATACTGAAGAAATCATAAAGGAAAAGAAAGATGAACGTGGCTGCACACATAACATTTAAACTTCTGTACCTCAAGCTGCTTATAAAACTAAGTTAGCAAGCAGATGATGATACAAAACTAGACCACCATATCCCAGCCCTGGCTACCTAGGAGAATGGCCTCGGGAATGCTAACAACCTGGCCTCACCCACAGAGATGGATTTTAGTTTTAAACGCTTGTAGGTGATGGGCATCTGGAATTAAAATTTAGAGGACCTAGTGTTCATGTAATTAACAGATAAAGACTTATTAAAAGATCAGTAAGAAAAAGTCCTGTACTGCAATAGAAGAGTGGACAAACAACAAACACGTTACCTGTCAGAGAAGAAAGATAAGAAATATGAAAGTTCAACTTTACCGCTAGCCAAAGAAGTAGAGATGATACATTTATTAAGCACCTACCGTGCTCCACACAGCTTACGTTAAGGTAGTTAATTCTCACAACAATTCCACAATGTAACCCCATCCTACAGATGAAGAAACCGAGGCCAAGGAGTGTGGCCTAGTGTGAACAGGGCCATATGGCCCTAGGGGCAGGGCCGGGACTACACCCATCAGTCTGCCCCTAGAACCTGAACTTAAACCAGCACACAGCATGCTTAATCACAGGGTGGATGCCTTTGTTACCCATCAAACTGGAAACACTCTGGAAAAGCTAACTCTCCGTGTTGAAGAGGATGCAGGGAAAGAAGTGCTTTCACCTACTGCTGGCAGAATTCTCAACTGACACAATCGCTCCGGATAACCATTTGGCAATATGCAGCACCAGCCTTAAAAGTGCTGATGCCCTTTGATCCAGGACTCCCACTTCCAGCAATCTGTTCTGAGGAATAAGTACAGGTGAGGACACAGGACGTTCCAGGCAAAGTGGAATCCTGACCCCGTTTCACAAAATGAGAAAAGAGGGGCTCAGGAAGATGAGTAATTTGCCGAGGTATCTTGGGTCATTGAAGTTGAGGGGTTGCCATGCAGGGTCAGAAGCCCTGAGCCAAGCCTAGGGGTATGGCTGGTACCTCTCTTCCAGGGGCCGTGTACGGTTCCTGTTGGAACAATCCTAACCCTCCCAGAAGCAATGGATGGCACTGGCTGAGCCCTGAGAGGGCTGGTGGCAGGCATGGCAAGGGTGGGGGTGAAGGGAGAGCCCACAAATGGAGTTTAACACATTCCTTCCCGTATACCAGGCATATGTATGTATGTATGATTATTCTTATTTGCCCAAGGCTGCCAGTGGAGAAGCCACCAGCTCATCACTGAACACTCCACAGGCACCACTACACGGCAGCTCTGAGTCCACCGCCCGCTCCAGAGTCCTGGAGGTCAGGGTCCGTGGTTTGCTCCTATCTTGATCCCCAGCCCCTGGCCCAGGTGCTGTTTGGATCACCTGAGATCAAGGAAAGAAAATGTTAACTATTTAATAATTGTTAGTTATCCTTTGGTGACTCTTGCCCATCAGATCTTTTCTGCTGCAGGACAATGGCATCAACGACTGCCTGAGGAACGGGTCCTCACTGCAGAGGCCTGCGGACGGAGAGACAAGCCCTATGCCTGGAGGTATGTGACCTTGTTTCCAAATTATGTGACCTCTGGAAGTCAGCCTTCCCAAGCCTCAGGTTCCTTATCTATAAAATTGCTGCAATGATAGATTGGGTGGCCAAGAGGTATTCTTTGTAAGGCGCCCTGGCTTCCTCCTGATTCTTGCATTTCAGGGCCTGTCACAGGCCAGAGGGTAGATACGTGGTTACACACAGGCCTTCCCAGTCCCTCAGATCACATACTGTTTCCCCTGGGACCCATGTCCTGAAGTCAGATGGTGCCGCGTGGTTCTGTGCCAGGACTGGGAACCGGTGGGGGTTGAGCCACCATACCTCTGCCTGTCTATGAGCTCTCCATGCAGCAAGGCGGGCTCCCCCCAGCACAGCTGTGGCTGCTGTCCCATCCCGGCCTGCCTGAGCCCTGCAGTCAGCACCCTTCCGGGCTAACCAGGCAGATGGCTGGCCCTCTCCCTGGCCCTCTCCTGCCCCCGACCTCCCCCGCCCATTCTCCGTTCTGTCACCAAGGTGATGCTGGGCAGTGGTCTGTGAAAGCAGAAAGCAGGTGTCCGAGCTCCCGCAGGTCCATTAGTCGTTAAGTTGGAAGCGCCCTGGAGCCTGGAGCCTGAGGTGCAAGCAGACACCTGTGCACCCTGGGGAGGGCAGCTTCCCCGGAGCGGTCTTGGAGGCCCGCCTGTTTGTTGGCCTCCTCCCAGCCCCATGTGTGCTGGCTAGCCCAGCTCACTCAGAAGTGTCCGGCCAGCCCTGCAGGGGAGATCTGGCTGGGGAGACATGACCCACAGCTCCTGCAGGGGCTTCCAGAGGCAGGGAATACGGTCGTCAGTGAGGCAGTCCTACAGCCCACTGCCCGTCCCCCAAACTTCTCCCCGACTCGCCAGCCACAGGATCGAGGATTCATTTTTTAACATATACAATGTTCCAGGCATCAGGCTAGACCTTTGAGAGACCAATTGCAGTCCCTGCCTCATGGAACTCACAGTCTAGTCGGGGCACCGACAAGCAAAAGGAAAAATCACAACTCAGCCTAAAAAAAGCCACGACAGGGTATGTGTAGGCCGCTTTGGGAACACGCGTGGGGTGGAAGCAGGAGGGCTTCCCAAAGGAGGGGACGGAGCCTTGGATCGAATGGGGGCTGTGCGAGGGCGGCGCTGTGGACTGTGAGGCTGCACCCTGGCTCATCCAGAGAATATCTTGGTTGATTGGTGATGTCTGTTACAGAGAGAGAATAATGGCAGCACTTGTGCCAAACACTCACTGACCCTGTATTAGGCCTCAGCACGGGCAAGTTCATCAGATTCTTTCTAAGGAGCTGACAAGCGGAACTCAGATTATTTTGATTATAGCAGACGCTTATGGATTATTTCTTATATGTCAGGCATAACCCTAGATGATTTCGCGGCAACCCTCTGAGGTAAGAACTATTTTTATCTCTATTTTCTAGATGAGGAAATGGAAATCTGGAGAGGTTAAACAACTTGCCCAAAACCACAAGTCATCAAATGTCAGTGCTGGGAGGAACCTCAGTGATCACTGGTTGAAAGCCCTTCTTTTACAAATGAGGAAAAGGAAGGCCTGGAAGAGACATGTTTTGTGCCAGGTCATTCAGAGCTGGAAGGATGAGGAAGGTCCCCATGTCCAGCCAGCTCGGGGGTGGGCTGTGGGCAGCCAGGGCCTGTGGAGGAGAGCCAGGAGCTATTTAGAGTGGGACAGTGAGTCAAAGACCACTAACTGCCCCAAGCATCCTTGCCTCCTTTTCCATTTGAATAATAAACCTCGCTGCATTTCAGCAGGGCACGAGGCTGCTGCACTAGAAACTACATTTCCCAGGAGCCACTGTGGGATGCGTGACCACGTGACAGTTTAGGCTGCGAGATGTCAACAAAAACAACTCTAAGTCACTTCCCTAAAGACCAGCTGCACGCCCTCTGTCCCCTTCCTGCTGTCTGGAGAAATGGTGACACATGGGGCAGTTGCCTTGGACACATCAGGTGTGGAGCGTAGCAGGGCTGCCCCACTACTGGTCCCTGGACGGCCTCTGGGCCTACTCAGGAGAAAAGAGAGTCCTTGAGGGTCTCATGCAGGTGATGAGATATGCATCTCGGAAGGGGTCTGTGCCACTTCTGCCCTGAACTAGCTCCCTGCCTCAACCCAACCACAGGAGACCTGGAAATCTAATCCTACCACGTGCCTAGAAGGTGGAGAGCCTCTGGAGAGTAGCAGTAGTGAGGACCATGGCCTACTCTACAGTTCTGCCTGGCCTGGTTCTGCGAAGGGCTGCCCTTGACTCCATGAAGTCCAAAAGCCACAGTGTCTAGAGCCACGGCTCACAGACTGGCCCACAGACCAGCGTGGGAGAGGAAAGGCCTCCTGTGTTCCCTGGGCCATGTACCCTGGCGTGCCCAGAAGCTCCAGATGAGCGCAGAGCTGTGTACCATCACCCCTCCTCCCCACGCCTTCCCAGCACCCAACCAGGGCCTGACCCAGAGCAGACGCTCAACCCAGGGGATGGATGGATGGATGAAAGGAGGCTGAGCGGCAAGGTGACAAGTAAAGGAACAAAGGGCTTAAGCCTCCCTCCTACGGTGGGCCTACCGGGGGCTTGTCTGCTTCCTTCCTGAGTCCAGATGCAGCTAAATTTGCTCCTAGGGGTTCTTAGTGGTGCCTGAGTATTAGATTGATATGATTCAATTCCACAGGCACTGAAGGAGCATCTTTCAAATGCCCGACCCTTTTCTGGGCTCTTCTGGGGCAACGGGAATGGATCAAGCACAGCCCCTGCTCCTCTTGGCCTGGAAGGACTAAGAGAGGGTTCCGAGGGAGGAACCGCCCAGGGTGAAACAGCCTAAGCGGGATAAGACAGGAAGCAAGCCTGTGCTTCAGGAGCACTGAGGAAAGAGCAGTGACTTCTGCCGCCTGGAGGTGGGGGGAGGGGGGAGAGAGCTGGGAGGACGTCCTGAAGCGGTGACAGGTGAGCAAGGCCCTGAATGATGGGTGGTCCATAAGGGTTCGGGAAGGGAGGGATGCAGGTAGAGGGACCTTCCTGAGCGAAGCAGGAGGGCAGGCGCGTGAATGCCAGGCTCTGGGTCCCATAGGCAGAGCAAAGAGGGCTGATCACCTCTCATTTCCAGCCTGGTGAGAGCTGGCCCTCCCTGCTGCCTTGAAGCGGAAGACCTGGGCAGACCTCGCTGTTTACCTTGGAGACCCAGTTATCTCTCTGGGCCTCAGGTCCTTCCTTGTGAATGAGGGCCCCGAGCCGCCACAGGAGGAAGCTGCGTGTGGGAGGCGTGTCTTTCGTCTCTGGGGGCTCTAGTGCCAGGTTCTCTCTACCCAGAGGGACTCTGGCACCTGTGGGGCCAGCTGGCTGGCTGAGGTCTCAGCCCTGGGGCCTGGGGCTCCCTGTTCTCTCTAAAGGTGAAGCGGTGACATCAGCCGGGGCCCTGTGAACGTCTCCCACTGGTTCTTCCTCCTCTTCCCAGGCGCTGATGACAGAAACGTGCCCTGACAGCTGTGGGGAGAAAGGGCCTTTGATGAAGGGGGGCTGGGAGAGGCTCGGCTTTATTTGTTGACTATAAAAATGTCAGCTCCTTTGGGCAGCTTCTTGAATCAATATTTGCTGTTCTGAGGCTGAGTTCAAATGCTCAGTAATCCACTCGGCTTGCCTTCTTCCTCCCTCACCTGGGTGAGGACTCAGCCACAGATATTTAGCAGGGCCCCTTACTGCCCAGGATGGGGAGCCTGTTCCCTGCCTTCCCACCCCATCCCTCAGAGGGGCTGCCCTGAGAGCTCTGTGGCCCAAAGGGAGCTCCCTAGAAAGGAGGGTTCCAGGAGAAAGGATTTCTGAGTTTCATTTTGTTCATCTGAAAAATGGGCAGAATAATGACTCCTCCCGCCCAGGGTGACGTAAGTTCGAATCAAAGAAGGGATGTGCAAGGGTTTCATCAGTTGTTAAGCTGGGCAGCACGACAACCGTAATGACGACGACGATGATGACGATGATGATGATGGGGAAAGCCACCTGCTGAAGCTTTCCAGGTGTTACTGTGGGGCAATTTATCCTGTAGCCCAGTCTTGTGGCAGTGATCTGAGAGCAAACAGATTCTGGGACACTTTTCCTTGGGAACCTCCACACCAACTGGTAGTTCTCAACCTCCCGCAGCTGCCCACTTGAGGTCTCTTTCTGGTAAGGGGCCAGAGGAATGTTGGTGGAGAAACATGGGACTCTGAAGGTAGATGGATCCTGATTCCCCACTTAGTGCTGTGTGCATTTTGGCCAGTTACTTAACCTCTCTGAATCTCAGGTCCTCATCTGCAAGGTGGAACAAAGCTTACCCGGCAGAGTTAAGTGGGGCTCAGAGACAGTGCACATAAAAATACCCAGCAGGGCACCTGGCACCCAGTGGGTGCATCATAAGCGCTCATTCTCCTGTTCCACAGTTGGTGTCTCCCAGTCTAACACAATTCTCCCCCTCGCACATTGAATTTGTACTGGAAAACACTGTCCTGGACATCAGCCTGAACAACACCATCCTGAGAAACGGTGAGGCTTCTTAGCTGGCACATAAGCTCTCATTATACAGACTGCTTCCAAGTTCCTCTGTCCCCTGCCTTTGTTTAGCTTCTGAATTCGCTTGGCTGCCAGAGTTGGCAAGCAGCTTGACACCCGCAAGGCACAAGGGCAGGTGGAAGCCTGGTGTTTGATGCCAAGGGTGGCCTTGGGGTGAGGGCCACACAGCACCAGTCTGGGGCTCTTAAGCATCACTGCAGATGGACGCAGGGCCCCCCAGACTCTCCGTACCTACCGCCGTTTGCCATGAAGTTCTGACGAGATGGCCATACCTTTGAGGAGGCATCACGGGGAAAAGTCTCATGTGCTAGAGGGAATAAAAAATTGTACCATTACTCCAGAAAACTGGAAGTTTCTTTAAAAGTTAAACACATATTTACCCTAATTTGATTTTATAGGGAACAACAACAAAACCACACTCCTGCATTTGGGATGTATTTTTAAATGTATCTTTTAAAATTGAAGTTATAAAGGTAAATGGTTGAAGAGTCAAATAATTCAGTATGATAAAAACGAATTGTCTTCAATTCCCCATTTCCCTTTACCAAGAGGGTTATCATTTTTCAATTCTATTAGTTGTTTCTTTTAGGTTTTTTTTTTTTTCAGGTTTTCAGATTTTTCAGTCTAATTGTTTCTCATCAGAAGATGAGAATTTAGGTCTTTTTAACCACCACTACTACACATACTGGTATCTCTTCCCTCACCATCCTTCCAGTGCAGCTATATCTCAAATTTTGTTGGATATTTAGTATTCATAATGTTATGACTGAGCCGTGTGCTATACTAGTATTATTTTTCCTTCCTTGTACTACTTTTAGTTTTTGTTGAAGTTTCTTGTTGAGTCATTTGTTCAGTTTTAATCTTAGGCTAGGTCCTCCAAAAAGCAGAGTCTGCACTAGGGATTAAAGTGCATAAACCTCCTTTGGGAGATGCAAATCCAGGTGGGTGAGGATAAGGGGAAAGGAAGGGAGGCAAGGAAAGATGGGAAGCAATGCAAAGTGGTATGCTGTCAGGCTTGGCAACAAAAGAGCCACTAAGAGACAGAGCAGGTTGCTCAGCAGGTATGTTCACTTGCACCTGCCATTTCTCCAGATGAGCCATGCCCAGTGACTCTACGGAAAAGAAGAAGAGAGAATTTATCTGTCTGGCTCCTTCTTCTCTCTGGTTTCTCATTTGGTAAAATTCACCCCCTGTGAATTTATTCCCTTGTACTTCCAGATTGCATTACGCAGTTCCTTAGTGGGCTGCCCACTTGGGATACCAGATCCCACACCCTGTGGTGTAGTGTTTCATCCCTGGAAGTGATGGAAGGAGATGAACTCTGGGAACTGGCTAGTTGGCCCAGCGGCGGTAATAGCCAGAAGAGGCTCACAGAGTTTGTGTCTGATACAGTTTTCCATATACTTATTACTAAATGCAAGCCCAGCTCTCATCTGTCCATCTAAAAGTCCCTTGAACAGCCAAACCCATCAGGGTTTCTGTCAATTTCCACTTCCTGGAGCTCTGCCTCTGGATCCTCCTGACCTGTCTGGGACTGGCTGCTAGCTATACCTGTTGCACAACTTTTGTCCTAAAATCTCCTTTCACCATAATTTGGAGACTTTCTTCCTCCCTTTCTCAAGTTGGAACTCCTGTTTCCTGACTCTCAGGTTTTCTTCTTTCTTGGTTTACACCTTTGTTTTGGTAGAAGACTGCCTAAGAAATGCGGCATAGTGTGCACACGGTGCCTACTAGTTCAAGTTTGGCCTTGCTGTGAAGCCTCAGCCTTAAAAAGGCCAAAGATAGGAATAGAGACACAGACGTAGAGAATGGACTTGAGGACACGGGGAGGGGGAAGGGGAAGCTGGGACAAAGTGAGAGAGTGACATGGACATATATACACTACCAAATGTAAAATAGATAGCTAGTGGGAAGCAGCCGCATAGCACAGGGAGATCAGCTTGGTGTTTTGTGACCATCTAGAGGGGTGGGATAGGGTGGGTGGGAGGGAGATGCAAGAGGGAAGAGATATGGGGATATATGTATATGTATAGCTGATTCACTTTGTTATAAAGCAGAAACTAACACACCACTGTAAAGCAATTATACCCCAATAAAGATGTTAACAAAAAAAAAGGCCAAAGAGCCAAATGCATACTTCAGCATAATTTCTTGCATTCATGAGTTTGTAATAATCAATAATCATGCGACCTTGAGAGTAACTACCATATAAAATTAGTGCAAAAATGTCAGCAATATGTTAAGTCATGGCATCCAAATTACTGTTAATATTAGAATATTCACCTTCAAATATAAGTAATCATTTTTGATGTATTTTGGAGAGAGAACCACCTTGTGTGTTAATTCTACACATTAGTTGAATATAAATATTATTGCAAAATTGAAATACTACCATAATTAATGAATAATTTTGTGTACAATAACAATTATTTAAAAAATTCAAATAGGGAATTCCCTGGCGGTCCAGTGGTTAGGACTCTGCGTTTTCACTGCCGAGGGCCTAGGTTCAATGGTGGGGGAACTAAGATCCTGCAAGCTGTGTGCAGCATGGCCAAAAAAAAAATTCAAATAGTTAAAGATATAGGAAACAGATTGTCAATTGATATGAAGTGTAAGAAAGAGCGGGTTAGAAAAATAACTATAGGGAGAAATTTCTGAACCAAAAATGTTAATAAAAAGCTAAATACTATAGAAAAGAATAATAGAGTTTACATTATAGCATGACTCGAATGATTATAGAATGGTTTGATATACTAGCATTCACAAAACTAACAAATTTCAAGAACTATTTTTAGCTTTGTGTCACTTAATTCCATTTAGGCCAAAGATATTTCAGTAAAATTTGTCACAGCTTGTGAGGATGTAATTTGTCCCCTCAACATTACATAAGAAAGAGAAAAACTCCAAAACCATGTACAACATCATCTATGATAAACCATCATCTGTCTAAATACAGTATATAAATAATGTATAAAAAAAGAAAATTTTCAGGAAAAAAAATGAGGTAAACAAAACATGTTTTCTTCTCACTCATCAGATTTCAAAGTAATAGACATCACAAGAGTGCTTTAAGATAGTTTTTCATAGTTTTGAGTCCTAGGAGGTTAAAAACGTAAACAATATACTCGATAAAAGAACTGAATAGAATGCCATTAATTTTCAGTAATTAAAGATGATGTATTTTTGAGATTTGTTCAAGCTATGAATTCCAGGTCAAAAAAAAAAAAGAACTATGATATTAGAAAACTTACTCCTAATATCTGCTATGCAGAAAAGGCAATATTATCAGTAATATTTCTGATATATGCTTACTTTTGATTAGTATTTCCATGGTGTACCTTAATCCATTTTATTGTTTTTAACATTTCTTATCCTTATATTTCAACTGAATCCCTTGACAGCATCATATAACTTAGTTTTTTGTTTTTTACTCCTTGCTGACAATATTTGCTTTTAATTGCAGCATTTAGTTCATTTATATTTAATGTAATTGTTGAGGCATTTGGATTTAAGTATCATCTCATCATTTGTGTTTTGTCTCACCTGATCTATGTGGCTTTTCCTCTCCTGTCTTCTATTAAGTTAATAAAGATTTTTTATTAATTATTTCTTTCTTCCACTCCATTAGCTTTTATTTTCCTTTTCATGATTACCCTTTGAATTTACAACAGGTGTCTTTGACTTATTAAAGCCTACCATAAATTAGTACTTAACCAATTCCCACATATGGTATAATATTGTGATATAATAAGAGAGATAAATTTTGGTCTTCACCCCCAGCTCCTGGTCGGTGCTCCTAGAACTCTTTATAATTTCCTAAGTGATAAAGGTGCTAGGAACATCTTTTGTCCTAATATTTGGTCTTTGATTTTGGTTCCTGACAGAGATTTCCTAAACCCCTTGGAATTTCCTGGGTAATAGGAGCATCTTTTGTTCTAATGAGTTGACTCTTGGTGGGCTCCTGGATAGCTTCAGGATGGAGGCTGGTCACCAGAAAGACCAACCAATGATTAGAAGCTTGGAAATTTCAGCCCCAATCCCCTCCTCCAGGGAGAAAAGAGGGGCGGGAGATTGAGTTTATAATCAATTATGCCTACATGATGAAGCATCCACAGAAATCTACATGGTTCAGAGAGCTTCCAGGTTGGTGAAGACATTTATGTGCTGGGAGGGTGACATACCCCAACTCCACAGAGACAGAAGCTCCTGCTCTCAGGGCCCTTCTGGACCTCTTCCTGTATCTCTTCATCTGGCTATTCATCTGTATCCTTTATCATATCCTTTATTATGTAATAAACAGGTAAACATAAGTGTTCTGCTGAGTTCTGTGAGCTCTTATAGCAAATTATTGAACCTGAGGACAGGGTCTTGGGAACTCTTCATTTGTGGCCAAGTCAGACAGACATGTGGGTAACCTGGGGACCCACAGTTGTGACTGGCATATGCAGTGGGGACAGTCTTGTGGGGCTGAGCCCTTAACCTGTGGAGTCTGATGCTAACTCCCTGTAGATAGAATGCGAACAGAATCAAGTTGTAGGATACCCAGCTGGCACTGGAGAATTGGTTGGTGTGAAAAAAAATCCACACGTTTGGTGACCAGCAGTATTGGTGTGAGTAGTAGTAGTAAAAGGAAACTGGTGGTTTTTTCCTTTTCATAAGATAAGGACTTAAACATTTTAATTCCCTTTACCTCCTCTTGCTTTTTGTAGTTTAAATATACATGTATTTTCAACCCAACAAGAAATGACTGCTGTTTAATACAGTCAGTATTCATTCAGATTTACCCATTTATGTACCCTGACCATTACTCTCCATTCCTCCTGCATTCCCGGGCTTCCATATGGGATAATTTTTCTTTTTCCTAAAGAAACATTTGTTTTAGTACAGCAGCAAATTCTCCCAGGCTTTGTCCCCCAGAAAATGTCTTTATCTCATATTCATTTTTGAAGGATATTCTAGGTTTCCAGTTATTTTCTCTTCAACACTTTATCAATATCATGCCAGTATCTCCTATCTTCCATGGCTTTTGTTGAAAAGTCAGCTATTGGTATTTTTTTTTTTTTTTTTTTTTGTGGTACGCGGGTCTCTCACTGTTGTGGCCTCTCCCGTTGCGGAGCACAGGCTCCGGACGCGCAGGCTCAGTGGCCACGGCTCACAGGCCTAGTTGTTCCGCGGCATGTGGGATCTTCCCAGACCGGGGCATGAACCCGTGTCCCCTGCATCGGCAGGTGGACTCTCAACCACTGCGCCACCAGGGAAGCCCAGCTATTGGTATTTTTGTTGCTCCTTTGAAGATGTATTTT